ACCACGCCACTACACCAGGCCACTACACCACGTTACTACACCAGGCTACTACACCACGCTACTACACCAGGCTACTACACCAGGCTACTACACCACGCTACTACACCAGGCTACTACACCACGCTTCTACACCACGCCACTACACCAGGCTACTACACCACGCTACTACACCACGCTACTACACCACGCCACTACACCAGGCTACTACACCAGGCCACTACACCACGCCACTACACCACGCCACTACACCACGCTACTACACCAGGCCACTACACCAGGCTACTACACCAGGCTACTACACCAGGCTACTACACCAGGCCACTACACCAGGCTACTACACCACGTTACTACACCAGGCTACTACACCAGGCTACTACACCAGGCCACTACACCAGGCTACTACACCACGCTACTACACCAGGCTACTACACCAGGCCACTACACCAGGCCACTACACCACGCTACTACACCAGGCTACTACACCACGCTACTACACCAGGCCACTACACGCTACTACACCAGGCCACTACACCACGCTACTACACCAGGCCACTACACCACGCTACTACACCAGGCCACTACACCAGGCCACTACACCAGGGTACTACACCACGCTACTACACCAGGCTACTACACGCTACTACACGCTACTACACCAGGCTACTACACCACGCTACTACACCAGGCTACTACACCACGCTACTACACCACGCCACTACACCACGCCACTACACCACGCTACTACACCAGGCCACTACACCAGGCCACTACACCACGCTACTACACCAGGCTACTACACCACGCCACTACACACTACTTTACCAGGCTACTACACCAGGCTACTACACCAGGCCACTACACCACGCTACTACACACTACTTTACCAGGCTACTATACCAGGCTACTACACCAGGCCACTACACCACGCTACTACACCACGCCACTACACCAGGATACTACACCACGCTACTACACCAGGCCACTACACCAGGCTACTACACCAGGATACTACACCACGCTACTACACCAGGCCACTACACCACGCTACTACACCAGGCCACTACACCACGCTACTACACCAGGCCACTACACCAGGCCACTACACCACACTACTACACCAGGCCACTACACCACGCTACTACACCAGGCTACTACACCACGCTACTACACCAGGCTACTACACCAGGCCACTACACCACGCTACTACACCACACTACTACACCAGGCCACTACACCACACTACTACACCAGGCCACTACACCACGCTACTACACCAGGCCACTACACCACGCTACAACAAATGAAAAATGAATACAAATGATGATCCCACCTTTATTATGATTCTTTTTTCATTTTACTAAATGTAAAAATATATTTTTATATTTTTCATTTCCTATTTTATTCATATTTTAACATTTTAACTTTAAACACTTTATAAAAGGTGTCACAAAGTTTCAAATTAGGGTTAGGTACATAGGTTTTGGTTATAAGTTTCGGAAACCTATTTAAAACCCACACAAAATATCGTATCTAATGCATGAAAACAAACGTTTCCACTACTTTCTAACACTTTCCAGGAACGTCGTGGAAACTTAAAATCGTTTGGTGAGAAAGTGCCTATGGAGGGAGAAATCGTCAGGAGGTGCAGAATCCAGAGGGATGTGATCAAAGTATTTGGCCCACGAAACGTGACCAAACAAGGCTTGATACGCATCAATATGGAATTGAGCGAGTGCGGCCGTGGCGAGGACGACGTTGAGAACCTCCAGAGAGAGAGAGAGAGGTTAAAAGGCGCAGTAGTCACAATGAGAGATTGAGCCACGCCAGAGGACGAGGTGGTCACCACTGGGGGCTTGTGACTCTATTCAACCACAGAGTGAGGGGAGCCAAGGGGAGTAGTCAGGAGGAGGAGCAAGGTCGGGGCTCAAAGCAGCTGGGGCTACAGAGCCCGGTCTTCCAACACGGTCTGACTCGGGGGCTTGGTCGCCAACCTCACGAGCCTGAGAAGGTATAAGAGGAACATAATTAGACATACAACGAGAGGTCAGATGAGAGGGTGCAAGAGTATGCCTCCTCAAACACACGGGCGTCAAAACTAAACAAGGCAAAATAATAATAATAAAAGGCAAAAGGTTGGAGGGGAATGACAATTAGAAAGGAGAAGGGGGGGGGGGGAGAAAAACAAAACATAAGGGAAAGGAAAAGTTGTCCAACAGAATTCGTGAGGACAGCAGCAGGAGCATAAGGTCACAAAAGGACAGAGGACTGTCCCGTGCAGCATCACACTCCGGCAGCTGCCCACCAAGCCCTCCTCACAGCAACAATAGGCCGGATAGGGAAGGGACAGATGTAACAAGAAGTTTGACATGTGGGTCTTGACCCCCCAGTCAGTCAGTCCAACAGAGCCGCCAATTCCCACTCCGGCATACCCTGCCCTAAGAAGTGTCACTGATTCTCTAGAGACTGATGGGGGTCTTACTTCCCCTCTCTAGAGGCCACTATTCACCTCTGAAGTGAGCACCTCAGTCGAGCTGCGGGGGAGAGTTCCCCTACCAAACCAAGCCTTGCACCCAGCAGGGAGTGAAGTAACTTGACCACTCCTTAATTTCGTTGCTGGGTGTTGGTGGACACTGACACACAAGGTTTACTCCCAGTCGAATTGCCTGCCCCTAAGTTTCCGTACATGGTCGCCAACTAGACTCGCTTCCCTTCGCGGCCAAGCACTACTTCACATGCAGTGGTACATTGATTCTCCCAGTATAGTACTCGTCTTAATAGTGTGGTGCACAGTAATCCCTCACAACAACATACCAGGAATGAAGGGGAAGAAGGAAATACACTAACAAAAATATGATTGGTTTACTCCATGATAATCTACACTTGTGGTCGGTTAAATGGCAACACTTCTGAAATTAATATCACATCTGGTAACTCCTCACTGTCTTCAAATCACCCGTATGAGGCTGTCTCGTAAACACTATCATATGACAGATATTATAACCCCACTTCAATAGTTTGTAATCTCTAAACTACTGTCTAATGAACTCACAGATGTAATCACTGACACCTCTTAAATAATATAATACTATTATGTCCGTTGTCACTACACACGTAATTCCTGGTTGTCACATAATTTATGTACAACCTTTTCAAACTCAAGGGGATAATGGGAAGGTAAATTTATCTACCTTATCAACCGATGCTGCAGGTCGTAGATTCTGTGTCTGGAACTCCCCGTCGCTTGTCCGTCTCTGCCGTCCATCAGCACAACTTCCTCTGGCGTCACGCAGTTCACGAGGTGTTTTTCCCCTAGTGCTAGACTGACTGTTGTTAGCTGGCCTATCCCAGCCTGATATTCTTCACTGTACTGGTCCACCTCCATGTAGCGTTGCTGTCAGGCTAAACGGTGGTCGAACTACATGGGACCAGAACTGCTACTATTCTTCACTCAGCTTCCGATGTGCAGGCCTGTAGGTATCAAACCTCCCAGTGTCGCTTCTCGAAGTTACCCAGGTTTACTGTCGTCATCGATCCTTTGGTGTCATCTTTGCAACTCATAACAACTCTCAAACAGAACTCTCGGGAGTCGACAGGTCACCCTCTCGTTCGCTCACGTTAGCTGCTCGAATTCAACCACTCTCGAAGCCTATATCTCTCCAGAATGGCTAGTCACCCGAGCACACATCCGCTCACCCTGGCACCTGGTAGCAAGGGTACGACGCCATTGGTCAACACGGCGTCGACCGATCACGCCATGACTGGCGCCGTTCTCAGTATGCACTCGAGCTCTTGGCCCCGAGCGGGAACTCTCGCTTCCATCTCGGTTTACTCAGCAATATATGATAATGATCTCGTCTCGTAACCTCAGCCCAAATAATCTTAAAATTTAATTTCTTCACACTGCAACATCATGCTTCCTCTCAAGTGTCAAAATCAACCATGACTTCTTACAGATATATACAAACAGGGAATTATGACTATTATATGTGGGAATATGGAAATTTGGGGCTGAGCTTCGTAACAGTATACTATTATGGAGCAAGTTGTGTTGTGTTGTGTATAATTATATTTACTAGTTTTCTAGAGTCAAATTGTTTCATATTCACATATATCATTCACCTATTTCACATAGTTAGCCCTTAAGAGCTAACTAAAATTATTTAAGTTTATGATTAATTTAATAACAGCAGGGATTTATTACTGGATGTAATAAAGCACACAGGATTTATTACTGGATGTAAATAAATATTAAGGAGTTAACGGGTAATGTGTGAATTTTTCCCCATAGTAGGGATTACTAAATGCTACCTTGATCTATTTGCATAATTTTCGGACCAGGAACAAACAGAGGCTCAACTGATGCTCCTGTGCCTGCTTGTAGGATGACGCAGTACGTCCCTGGAAACACAAACCGAAACTGTCTCTGTTTTCCGCTTGTTACAACTTGTAATAAAGTTGCTACATCTTGGCTTAACGTGTTTATGACGTATTAGAACGTTGTTACAACTTGCTATATTGGTTGTTATAACTGGTTAGGAGGTGTTAAAACTTGTTCGAACGTTGTATCAACGTCATAGTTTCGGTGAGTGTTTGGAGAAGGTGAACTAGTAAGGTGGATCATCAAGGGGCTGCTAGGAGATGCAGTGATGGTGTTTTCATGCAGAATAAATAGTGATAGTTGGATGTATGTTAATAGAAGGTGCCTGAAAAATGTATGTAAAAGCTTCTGGAGCATGGGTCAGTATTCATAAACAAGGCATATTGCACGTGGTGCAGGATCTGGTCCGTTTCATTCATCTGTGGAAACAGTTACAGATACTCAGCTGTTCCTGTGAGTCTTGCAATGTCTTGCAGAAGCTACTTCAATGTGGGTTTGATTTTTATTACTGGTATGTGAACATTAGTATTGCATTTAGATATATATGGCTAAAAATTGACTGCTATTACACTACGTCATTCCAATAAAAATACTAACTATAAAAATTTATCTTACAAAACAGGTCAGCGGGATATGTTATCTTCAGCAACTGGAGCTGTGGAGGCTGTGTTATTAGCAGTAACACAAACTAAATGTTCCGTTATCCTATTCACAGATGGTATCTCATCGACAACTGATGTTTACTTGGTCAGTATTCATTGTTATAATATTAATGAGCAGCCCATCCTCGGCATAGACAGTTTGTTATACTCCTAAAGGTTTATTATAACAAGGACCGGAGGCCTGGTCCTCGACCAGGCCTCCAACCCCAGGAAGCAGCCTGTGACAGCTGACTAATTCCCTGGTACCTATTTACTGCTAGGTAACTGGAGCATCAGGGTGAAAGAAACTCTGCCCATTGTTTCTCACCGGCGCCCGGGATCGAACCCGGGACCACAGAATCATGCATACAGTGTTCTGTCCGCTCAGCTGTCGGCTCCCACTGATTTATAATTGGTATGCCGTTTTTTAAATAAAGTTTACGTATACTCAGTCAGATCAGATGTTATTAATTGAAAATATGTTCTGCAAAATTTTGGTTGTTTATAAGCCAATCTATCATGTAGAGCACACGCTTTTGAGGTAATTAGATACGGCAGGAAGTGCAGTCACTGACATTCAAAGGACAGAAGGCACGATACAACGATTTATGATACAATCATAAGGACACACTCCAACACTGTCTGTGACTGCTCTGTTTTAAATGATAAAAACATTTTGATTAGTTAAAAAACCTTATTTACATATATTACATATGAAAGACACAAAGATGAACAAGCAAAAATACATGTATTTTTATAAATCCTTCCAGTTTTTGCTCGTTCGACATTGATAACTGGCCAATAATTCATTGTTTAATTAATACTGTAACTAGTTTGTGAAAAATATTTAACTAAATGGCAATGAAACATTTGTTTAATTTTAAATTATGAAAAAATAATATATGATGGAAATGTAATGGAATTGGAACTTACATTATAGTTCGTGAAGATTTATATCTCTACATTTAGAGGTTTTTAGTTTGAAGCCCACAATAAAGCCTGAAATTGTTAAAGAGAGTTATATTAGCTAATTCGTACAATAGTAGAAACCCATTGCTCCTATTTACATTATGTTCCAAGACACTCCGAATAAAAGGTCACAGTAACACATCAAGAAATTGCTAATTAAAAAATCATGTTTAATTGTTATGATATCTCAAATGCAGCCTTACACAATGTGCAGCTTCAGGGAGATGGCAAGTCCTACCCCAATCATCTGAATACACCAAACTGTGACTCTTCATATTTAATTAATTAATTAATTTATTTATTTATTTATTTATTTATTTATATACAAGAAGGTACATTGGGTTTATGAAAGTACATTGCATTGATGTTTTTTTTTATTCTTGTAAAGCCACTAGCACGCATAGCGTTTCGGGCAGGTACTTAATCTAACGCATTATTTTAAGTATGAAATTTCTAGCAAAATTAAAAAAAATACAGGTACAGTACAGTGTAAGAAAATTTAACAAAGCTTAGTAGGTACATTAAAGTAAAGTTTGAGGGTTATTAACAGGTACATTGTAGCATAATTAGAGAATCATTTAAAAGTATAATGCAGTAAAATATTCATTCCATATGACAATCATGATATAAGGTGATAACAATTATTACAAGGGTAGAGTTGTATTTACCACCAATTATACCAAGATATTTACCACCAATTATGCCAAGATATTTCCCACTAAATATGCCAAGATATTCACTACCGCATAGTTGTATTTATCACGGGACACCACCACTATCCCCACCTACCATTACCCACCCACAACTACCACGTATAGTTGTATTTACCACCAGTTTGAAGAAGACTGAAACAGGAGACTTGTAACGTTGATCACCCGAATATGATACACATATCCATGCTGACTGAATCACTTCCTGCTCTCTAGACATTGGTTAGTTTCTTCTTAATGATAGGTCCAGTTTATGTGAGATGCTTCTTCACCCACAGGGTTATTAACTATCGAACCACATACTCACCGAAGCCGTAAATTCCAAAACTCTGTTAACTTTTAAAGTACAGCTGGAAAAGATCAGCAAGGCAAATGGGGCGACCTTCAACAACCTACCGGCTTTCTGTCCTCGTCGTGGCCATTAATGGTAGTGGTTCTCAAGTAAACTCAGGACTGAACCGCTTTTGATGTTGGGAGACATATCATGTAGTGATAAATGTTGCTGGTTACGCAAGGACTGAGTGTTGTTTCTTAGAGTTAGACTTGATGTGAGCACTTGGCGGTCAATGGTGGTCGTTCTTCTTTATGATAGGTGCAGTTTGTGTGAAGATTTTCTCCACTTTATTAGTGTATCTCTATTAATTATACAATGAATTATTGGCCAGTGCGTTGGCATCGGTTATCATTGAAGAACGAGCATAAACTGGAAGAATTTGAAAAAAATACATATATCTTCGCTTGTCCATCTTTGCATCTTTCATATGAAATATATGTAAATAAGGTTTATTAACTTATCAAGATGTTTTATCATTTAAAACTGGGCAACCACAGTGTTAGAGAGTGTCCTTATGATTGTATCATAAATCGTTGTATCATGGCTTCTGTCCTATGAATGTCAATGCTTCTGCTATACCTAATTTTCTCAAAAGCGTGTGCTTTACATGATAGATTGGATTATAAAAGTCCAAAACTGTGCAGAACATATTTTCAATTAATAACAACTGGCCTAACTGAGTATACTTACAATTTAAAAAAGAAAACAGCATACCAATTACATTAGAGAAAACTAATTCATTGTTTTGGTACATTATTTGTGGAGGTAAATGTAATGGTTGAAATAGGTTTATTTATGTACTATGTATACAGTTCATTAACGTACTAGGTTCCTATAGTAATATAATGAACTGTCTATTTGGAGGATGGGTTGAAAATGAGGCAATATCGTTGAGAAAATATATATTTTCAATGTGCATAATAAGTCATCTTACTTTCTTCCAAACTTACAAAGTTTGGCCAGATGGTGGCGCCCTGGGGTTTGTCAGTGTTCACAGTGTCAACGGACGGCCAGGACGCTAACGGGACACTGACGCCGCTCTCTCAGGTGGTCAGCAAGGCTCAACAGGTTGGTCACTCTCACATTGCTGCTATGCATGTAGCTCACTCTCACATTACTGCTGACGCAGGTAGGTCAAGCTTACATTACTGCTCATGCTGGAAGGACACTCATACCAGAAAACATTTTCTGTTTTTCAAAATGCATTAAAAGCTACTTTTTAAAATTTTATCACGTTTTATATAATGTTTTATATACGTGTTTGGAGTATTTCTAAAAACAGTTATAAAGCGTGAGGTGATATTGTTTAAATTAAACCTATTTTTTTATTTAAGAATTTTATTCAAGAATTTTTCTTGGAGTTGAAATAGAGAGAGAGAAAGATATAAAATGAGAGAGAAAATGTGTAAGAAAGTGAGAGAGAGAAAATGTGTAAGAATGTGAGAGAGAGAGAGAGACAGACAGATGAAAGATGTACTCAGATTTGATGCACTCACTTACACGTCAGCAAACTTGCCATCAAAGTTTGGATGCCAGCACAGTGGACTCACAACACGGAATGGAATGGAATCCCAGCATCTCCATAACTCCGGACAACATGGTTTAACAACAGGGCGCTCTTGCCTGTCACAGTTGCTCGACCACTATGACATAGCACTCGATGCCATGGAAGACAAGAAAAACGCTGATGTAATTTACACAGATTTCGCAAAAGCCTTCGACTAATGTGATCATGGTGTCATTGCACATAAAATGCGTTCAAAAGGAATTACTGGAAAAATAGGCAGATGGGTCTACAATTTCTTGACTAACAGAACCCAATGTGTAATAGTCAACAACATAAAATCCGGACCATCAACCGTGAAGAGCTCAGTTCACTAGGTTACTGCGGTGGATACTCCAGTACTAGTTCTCATCCTCATATCAAACATAGACAAGGACTTTTTTTGTATTGTATCATCCTTGCAGATGACACTAAGATTTTTATAAGAGTAGACAACATAGAGAGCACAGTAAACCTCCAATCAGATGTAGATCAGGTCTTTGAATGGGCTATAGAAATTTTATGGTATTTAATGAAGATATGTTCCAGCTCTTGCGCTACGGAAAAAAAGTTAAATATAAAAGCAGAAACCACGAATAAAACGCAGTCAAATCATAACATAGAACGAAAAAGCAATGTAAAGGATTTGGGTGTACTCATGTCGGAAGACCTTACCTTTAAAGAACACAATAAAGTAGCCGTCAAAACTGCAAGAAAAATGACAGGTTGGATAACAAGAACCTTTCATACTAACAAGTACTTTTCAAACTAGAGATGCTATACCAATGATGATACTCTTCAACACGCTAGTGCTCTCTAGAGTGGAATACTGCTGCACGATGACAGCCCCTTTCAAAGCTGGAGAAATTGCTGACCTGGAGAGAGTGCAGAGATCCTTTACTGCTAAAATCCACTCAGTAAAACCTCTAAACTATTGGGACCGACTAAAAGGCCTAAATCTGTATTCTCTTTATCGCAGGCGGGAGAGATACATAATAATTTACAAATGGAAAATAGTAGAGTGGTTAGTGCCAAACCTGCACAGAGAAATAACATCACATGAAACTAGAAGGCATGGCAGGATGTGCAGAACACCCCCGTTGAAGAGCAGAGGTGTAACAGGTACACTGAGAGAGAACTCTATCAACATCAGAGGCCCGAGACTATTCAACACGCTTCCACTACACATAAGGGGCATAACTGGCTGACCCCCCCTCACAGTGTTCAAGAGAGAACGTGATAAACACCTTCAAAGGATACCTGATCAACCAGGCTGTGACTCATACACCAGGCTGCGAGCAGCCGCGTCCAACAGCCTGGTTGACCACTCCAGCAACCAGGAGGCCAGGTCGAGGACCGAGCCTCGGGGTCGCTAAGCCCCCAAAACACCACAAGGTAACCTCAAGATAAGGTATCCATAACCAAGCTCTGCAGGTTGCTTTGTGTCTTATACACCACAACTTGCCTTATTCAACACAACTTGTACAACACAACTTGCCTAACACGCAACTGAAGTTTTACAACTTTAGAACACTTTCCCACAAGGAGACTCGAACCCTAGCCAGCACAGAAGCCTTCCAGCCACTGGCATAACAGATATGCCTTTAACCCACTGCACCACAACCCAGACCCTTTAAGGAGATGGTAGTTTCGGGGTATTTAAACCCCCCAAAGTTCACCACCTCCCAAGGGCATCTAGAGCTAGTGAAGGGTTACTCACGTTCTTTCATCCAGTCCCTGTTAATATGGGAGAACGCTGTACCTTTGCTTATTGCACAACTTGCCTAAACACGCAAGTGAAGTTTTACAACTTTAGAACACTTTCCCACAAAGAGACTTGAACCCTAGCCAGCACAGAAGCCTTCAGAAGCCTTAAGCATTGGCACAGAGTTCTCCCATTTTAACAGGGACTGGATGCAAGAATGTGAGTAACCCCTCACTAGCTCTAGTTGCCCTTGGTAGGTGGTGATCTTTGGGGAGGTTAAATACCCCGAAATACCATCTCCTTTAAGGGCCTGAGTTGTGGTGCAGTGGGTTAAAGGCATACCTGCTATGCCAGTGGCTGGAAGGCTTCTGTGCTGGCTAGGGTTCGAGTCTCCTTGTGAGAAAGTGTTCTAAAGTTGTAAAACTTCACTTGCGTGTTTAGGCAAGTTGTGCATTAAGCATAGGCACAGCGTTCTCCCATATTAACAGGGATTGGATGAAAGGACGTGAGTAACCCTTCACTAGCTCTAGATGCCCTTGGGAGGTGGTGAACTTTGGGGGGTTTAAATACCCCGAAACTACCATCTCCTTTAAGGGTCTGGGTTGTGGTGCAGTGGGTTAAAGGCATACCTGTTATGCCTGTGCTGGGTATATATATATATATATATATATATATATATATATATAATATATTAGTATATTTTGGTAGCAGTCTTTCCTGTAGACATATATTATTAAATATGACCGAAAAAGTAAGATTAATAATTCTAACACGAATTTTCTCAATCTTTCGTACATTTCTTTTCACTGCTGGTGGTAATTCAAAAACCAATTCTCCAAAATTCATTTTTATTTCTAGTCTGACGCGACACTTGAGTGCGTTTCGTAAAACTTATTACATTTTCAAAGACTTTAGTTAACATATACACAACTGAATAGAACTTACACATCTCCGATTTGTTTATATCTACATTTGAGTGAGGTGGATGGGGTGAGGTGGTATTAAATAGGGTATTAATTTCATCAACACAAGACAGAACACGAAACAATGGGTATTGAATGGAAGTGATTGTAGAAAGCCTATTGGTCCATATTTCTTGATGCTTCTATATTGGAGCGGAGTCTTGAGGTGGGTAGAATATAGTTGTGCATTAGTTGGCTGTTGATTGCTGGTGTTGACTTTTTAATGTGTAGTGCCTCGCAAATGTCAAGCCTTCTGCTATCGCTGTATCTATCGATGATTTCTGTGTTGTTTACAAGGATTTCTCTGGCGATGGTTTGGTTGTGGGAAGAGATTATATGTTCCTTAATGGAGCCCTGTTGCTTATGCATTGTTAAACGCCTAGAAAGAGATGTTGTTGTCTTGCCTATATACTGGGTTTTTTGGAGCTTACAATCCCCAAGAGGGCATTTGAAGGCATAGACGACGTTGGTCTCTTTTAAAGCGTTCTGCTTTGTGTCTGGAGAGTTTCTCATGAGTAGGCTGGCCGTTTTTGTGGTTTTATAGTAAATCGTCAGTTGTATCCTCTGATTTTTGTCTGTAGGGATAACGTTTCTATTAACAATATCTTTCAGGACCCTTTCCTCCGTTTTATGAGCTGTGGAAAAGAAGTTCCTTTAAAATAGTCTAATAGGGGGTATAGGTGTTGTGTTAGTTGTCTCTTCAGAGGTTGCATGGCGTTTCACTTTCCTTCTTATGATGTCTTCGACGAAACCATTAGAGAAGCCGTTGTTGACTAGGACCTGCCTTACCCTACAGAGTTCTTCGTCGACTTGCTTCCATTCTGAGCTGTGGCTGAGAGCACGGTCGACATACACGTTAACAACACTCCTCATGTACCTATCTGGGCAGTCGCTGTTGGCATTTAGGCACATTCCTATGTTCGTTTCCTTATTGTAGACTGCAGTATGGAAACCTCCGCTCTTTTCCATGAGTGTTACATCTAGAAAGGGCAGCTTCCCATCCTTTTCCATCTCGTAAGTGAAACGCAGCACGGAACTCTGCTCAAATGCCTCCTTCAGCTCCTGCAGATGTCTGACATCAGGTACCTGTGTAAAAATGTCGTCAACATACCTGCAGTATATGGCCGGTTTCAAGTTCATGTCGACTAAGACTTTTTGCTCGATGGTACCCATGTAGAAGTTTGCAAACAGGACACCTAGGGGAGAACCCATGGCGACCCCATCTACTTGCTTATACATGTGCCCATCCGGGCTCAAGAAGGGTGCCTCTTTAGTACAAGCTTGAAGTAGTTTCCTTAGAATATTTTCTGGTATGTCAAGAGGAGTACAGGCTGGATCATGATACACTCTGTCGGCTATCATTCCGATTGTCTCGTCCACAGGTACGTTGGTGAACAGTGATTCTACGTCCAACGAGGCTCTTATCCCTGTGGCCCGTGTACCCCGCAGTAAGTCAACAAATTCCTTTGGAGACTTCAGGCTGAAGGTGCAAGGGACATAAGGAGTCAGCAGGCCGTTGAGTCGCTTCGCCAGTCTGTACGTGGGTGTGAGTATCTGGCTAATGATTGGCCGAAGTGGGTTTCCAGGCTTGTGTGTCTTGACATTTCCATGCGCATATCCAGGTTTATATTCCCCAATAATTTTTGGCAGGTGGAGTCCTGATTTCTTGGCGTTCACAGTTTCAATCAGTTTGTTGACCTTTGATTTCAATTCGGCTGTAGTGTCCTTCGTTACCCTTTGGAATTTAGTTTGGTCAGAGAGTATGAGGTTCATTTTCGCCAGATATTCGTCTTTTTTAAGAATGACGTATATTGGCGACTTGTCACCTCTCCTGACAACTATCTCCTTGTTCTCACGA